ATTACATTTTCCCGCAAGCTCTTGAGCGTTCGGAAGAGCTCGGTTTCACTTTGGTTGCGCTCGCTGTTTTCAGAGACATGGTCCTTGATGCTAATGCAATCCTCGGCGATCCGTCTCCATCCAAAGATATCATGCACGTACGTGGCTTCAAGCGCTTGGTTGGTCAGCGTGAGCTCATTGATCTTTGCCGTCTGCTGCGCCACGTGCTTGTCGGCCTCGTGCGCCTTGTTGCGCAACACCTTGCACTTGTCTTGCATGTCCTTCATCTCGGAGAGGAGATGGGCGAGCTCGCCGTTTTTGCTCGTCTTCCTCGACACCGGGCGCTTCTTCTTGCTGTCCATCTCGACGCTGCCGGGGCGATCAAGATTCTCTTGACGCTACAGCACATCATGGTCGATATCGACGCGCTCTCCATCATTACGACGTACGCCAGCTGACGACGGCGTGGGCTGCCGTGACGCGTCGGCGACCAAGCTCGCGTCCGTCATTGGCGTCATTGGACGGCTTGGCAGCTGCGGCGTCGACTGTCGCTCGCTGTCCGAGTCCTCGATGTCCTCGTCGTCCTCGTCGTCGTCCTCGTTGTAGGACGGAATGAAAAAGCCCGTGTCGCCGTCGCCGTCACCGCCAGTGTCCTTGTCGTCGTCGTAGTAGCGCTTCATGACCTCGGACGCCAAGTCGTTCTCGCGCATGAGTGCTTGGTCCAGCGCGAGCCGCTATCCCATTTTGTCATGAGGTACAGTAGGGTGGGGGGACAGACCATAAAGTCCCATTCCTCGGTCCACAGCGCCGCTTCCTCAAGCAGGTGCGCTTGGTGGGCCCGCTCGACGCCGTCCGCTTGGCTCACCACTTGAGCGTACAGCTCTTGGTACTCGGTCATGTCGCGCCGGGTGCGCTCCGCCTCGGCCGTGAGCTGCTTGCAGCGCTTCTTCTCCTCGAGGTACCGCTCGTGCGTGCTTTCGCGCTCCATTTCTTCGCCCGCTAGTTGGTCTTCGAGTTGCCGCTTGGTCTGCTCAAACCTAATCCCCATCGACTAGTACTCTCTCGGCATGGCGACAGGGATAACACACTTGGTCGAGAGCGTAGCCAAGTCTTGTTTGCATTTGACGAGCGATTCTTGCACAATCTCGGAGACGTGGAGCTGCTCCTTGTGCTTGGTTGCCAACGCGTTGAACTCGCTGGCGAAATGCGTCTTGAGGTCCGTCATGTCGTCGAGTTGGCGCTTCGTAGCTTCGCACTCGGATTGGTGCCGCATGCAGTCGGCTTTAAGCGCGGCGTGGCTCAGCACAAGTGCATCGAGCTACCTCGTGATGATACACATGAGATCCTCTGTTTTCCTCTACGTCATGGACCTCGTCTTGCATGTCGTCGCGTTGGCGCACGAGGAGCTTGGTCTGTTTCGTCACTTCGTCGTGCTCGGCGTGGAGCTCCTTGAGCTACACACCAACAGGTTCATCGTCGTTCGAGCGTCCAACTAGCGTCGTGCACCTGTTGCGTGAGCTTGGAGACGCTTTCGGTCGTGGCGCTGGCGGCGTGCAGCTTGGATTTGAGCTCGGCCAGCCACGTCTTTTGTTCGCGCTCGGCTTTGCGCGAGATCTGGAGCTGCTCGAGCGTAAACGCGTTCTCCTTGGTGAGCGCGCGCAGCCGCTGCTGCAGCGCATCCGAGATCTCGGTTGCTTCCTTGAGCTCGGCGCGCAGCCGGTGCACGATGCCTGCACATTGCAAGTTGCGTCCGCCATCCGACGACACGATAGTAGGTACCCTTCATGTTTTGCTCGCCTTTTTGGGCCTTGGCACACAACGACCGCGCCTCGTTGAGCTCTTGCGTCTACCCCACCGTTTGCGGGCTGAGGTTTCGTAATGGACAGGTACCTCGCCGTGGACGAGCTCCAACGTCCCACCGCACACGTCGCAGGGATGCACGCGCAGGTACGTCTGGGACGGAGCAAAGAGCGGGAGGGTGTCGCGGAGGTCCACGGACGGCAGCGCGTGGACGCGCTCGTCGACCGACCCGGTGCTTGGATGGAGCTCGCGCGCCAAGAGGTTTTCCTTGACGACAATCACATCGCGGTAGTACGCGTGCCGAATCGTCTAGCCACAGACATGTATGTATATAGTATGTCCATAAGACAGAGTGTACATCGATGAGCGCGCAACGCCGCGCGAGACGCTCTTTGAGGATAGCAATGTGCTGGTCCTTGGTGAGCGTCGGCTCGACCTCGGCCTCGGCGAGGTACGAATCGAGCTCGAGCGCGGCCTTGGTTTCGAGGCTCGGCGCCTCCATCGGTTTTACAGCGTAATTTTAGCATGCACCTTTCGGGCTCGTCCCTCGGTGTTAAAGGGCGTTGACGTATGCGCGTCAAAGTCCGAATGCACGCGAGCACGCGGCCATGCAGCGATACCGACTCACCCGCCAGACGATCCATGGTCTGGTCCTCGGTCATCACGCTCTCAGCTTGTTGTAGCCACCGCACTCGGTGGTGCCCATCACCGGTGCAGCCGAGGTGCTCGGGCCCTCTGGCGTCGCCTACTTTGCCGCAGGACTATTGCATCCGAGTGGCTGCATGGCGCCAACACATCCAATGTGGATCGTTTGCTCCACAAACTGATGCCGTCCCCTGCGACGTGGAGGACAGATGCACTGAATTGGCACGCTCTCGAGATGGTGTCGCATGTTGACACGGCGTCGACTATGACGGCGACGTTCGTCGAGTCCGGTCGGGTTTGCGTCCCTCGTGGCTGCGCACATCGCGTGGACGAGCAAAAGTCTCGTGCCCTCCTCGGTCTGCGTCAAGCGGTCGACGCTACGAACCCCGCTCGTCTTGCTCTTGTACGCGCTCCTTTCGTTTTACGTCGCCGTGGGCTATGTGCTTTTGTGCTACTATGACCGGCCGCCAGTAGCGTCTCGGATTGTCGCCACCAGAGCCGCAATTTTGACTGGGCGGCGACCCACGTTCCGACGTGGCGCATTGTGCTTTCGTCGTCGCCGCTCGATGTTGAGACGCGGCTGATTGCGCTGCTAGCGACTCCAAACAGTTGTCGCCACGGCTCACGCCGTGCCGAGCCGCGTCAAGCGCACCCAAACGCTCAGCTCGATCTCGGAAGGCAGGGCGAGTGATGGCCGGCGCGCCGTGGTGCGGCGGCTTCCTTCGACAAAAGAACTTTTTGAGAAAGTGCGTCCGGGGCTCGTCGCTACGGGGGTGCCCGTGTCCCTGCCCGCGAACCGGCGCTGGCGCGTTGGCTTGTACATTGTCTACGCTGCCGTCGCACGCGCGCTGCTGGTGCTGGCGACGTTCCGGAGTTACTTTCGCGTCGCCGTCCTGGGCGAGTGCGAGTTGGCATAGCGTCCATTTTCGATGGGACTGCGCACTTGACGGACCCATACGCGACTGGGACGCCTGCTTGACACATCTTGCAAATTCGACGCTCTTGTGGCTCCACCTCCAGCGCTGGCCGCTGCCAAACGGCTCGCACGCCGACACGCTGGCGTTGTTTCCACAGCTCTATGGTCTTTGTTTGGAAAACTCGGAGCTGCAGCGCCGGGTCCTTCCGCAGCTTCCCGCGACGGTGGCCAGCGTGTTCTTGCACGGTACACGCCTCAGTGCGCTGCCAGCTGCACTTCTCTCACCGCCATCGTCGCTCCAGACGCAGTATGTGACCGACTCGCCAGCCCTGGGCAACCTTCCTCCGACAGTATACGCAAGCTGGCACGCGCTTCGAGACGTCGTGCTCACAAATACGAGCCAAACCCGCCTCTCGGGTCACTTTCAGAAGCTGCGGGCGCTCGAGTACTTAGACGTTGGGCACAATGCGCTCTCCGTGCGACGCTGCCGCATACTAGTATTCAATCCATCTTTGCAGACGAGAACCACTTGGTTAGAAGTCCCAAGCATACATGCCATCGTGCATCGCGCATGGTATGTAGGCACCTTGCACCTTGGCATCGAGAAGGCGGCGGCGTTCGGGCCGGGCGTCGAGATGGTCGACGAGGTCGCGTTCGATTCTGAGATTCTGCGATTGGGTTGTTGACATGTTTAGAGCGTAAAGCGTACTCCGTCGCACGTGAGCTTGGCGCTGCGGCCTGACCCATGGTGTTACGCTACGCTGAACGTGCCGTTGAGGTTCATAAAGAGGCCTTTCGTAATGATCTCCACTAGATCATCGAAATACGTGTCACTTGTATCTTGCACCATTCTTGCATCCATTCCAGATCTGCACCGTATGCACAGTCGGTGCGGCTGCATGATAAACACTTGACGCTCACGGCTCGTCAACATGCCCTCTCTAGACTGAGTAGGATTTACATGACCTTTTGTCAACATGCACGAGGTGTCGTTCTGATCATCTAGCTGTAGTGTACGAACTGCGGGAGCTTGAAATGGGTTGACAGTCTCGGCCTTGAAACGGTCGTACGACTTGTGGTATGAGGTCAACACAAGGCCTTCGCGGCGCGCGAGAGCTCGCCAAGGCCAAGCTCTACTCCACCTCAAGCCGCCCCGAGTGGAATGTAAGGAATCAACTTTATAGGAAGCACTTTGATGCGCAGAGTCGTTAGAACGAGCAGCAAGACTTGAGTCAGCTTCAATGCTCAGACAAGGAACTGGTAGACCAGAATGGACGAGAATATAATGGATACCATGGCTGCCATAGGCACTGAAGCACGAGCAGCGCACGTCCAAGCACCTAGAGACCGCCAAAGTGGACCTCTACTTTGAAGCCCAAGCGGACCAGCTCGCGGCACGTGAGCGAGCGCTGCTTCGCGATCAAGACGAGGTCATTCTTTCGTGGATGCGCCATAATCCAGCCTTGCACACAGACGCGCAATCAGCAGTCGAATGTTTTGAGTCAGCAAGTCAAGCTCAACAAACTCTACGTATGTTGCTGCGCCATCCGCCGACTTTTGATCAGCGTTGTTGAGTAGGAAGTCGT